GTACATCCTCCCTCCTCCTTTTGGTTCAGATCTGGTTTGGTTCATGGTTCAAGAATGATCCTTGAAAATATGATTTTCTAAAATAGGGAATGYGRTTCCCARTTGAAGGGAGAGAAAAATTTTTGAAATTCGCCCCCTTATTCCGCAATCTTTGGGCGTCCATACGATGGATCTCTCATCCCTTCAGCTGCAATATCTGGCCTCCTTTTATTTAGATTTTAACTGTCTGGCCCATTCAACTTGGCAGTTAAGCTGGTGACCCATCACCATTAAGGAAAAACTGGGTCCATTTCCAGTTTGAAATTCCGAAATTTATTCTTTGTGGAGGAAAAAGCCATCCTGATGTGGTATAATCAGTTCAGAAGCATCGTTTTATTTGATATAATTATTCAAAAGAAAATGTCCATTTCTAATATCAAAAGTTATTAATAAATATTTTCATAGATTAGTGTTCATACTGTTATAAAAGTTGTACATAAATCTACAGAAATTTCTGATATTTCTGGAACCTGTCCTATTTTTAGTGGTCAACATTTGCATTGAAAGCAGCACTTTAAACCTAGGATGAAGCTACCTTTCCCTTACCTTCACACTTACAACACCAAGCATCTTTTAATCACATTCTGAAAAGGAACATTTTGACCTCCATTTCCCAACCTCTCCTCTATCAAGATTCCATTCCAAAAAATCTTATGGAATTCCATCACCCCTGCCCTGGGACACATCACCATCTTCTACCTCCAACAACAAATTCTGCTTGTGTCTCAGTTGAGACAGAAAGTATCTACTTTTGTCTTCTTTTCTTCAAAGAATCATCCAAGGGTATTAGTGGGTATTTAGTTGATAAATTTAGATCACAAATAGAGTTTGAGATGTCGAGAGGTAGTTTAGGAAGGTTAGTTGAACAGTTCTTATGAGAAGACAGCCAGACTGGTTCTCTGGTTCTATTGTTATGATCCTGATTTTCAGAATAAAAGTCAAATTTCTCTACTTTTTTCCATAGTCAATTTGTTTTTTTTTTATGAATAACATAGTCAATTTGTTATTGAGTGATTAATTTTCATTTCTTTGATCCATTCATCAAATTTCATGTAAGTGCTCCCTCTACTACTAATTTACTGTTTGCGAAATTTCTAGTAGGTTCAAAGGAAGATTTAGTGAAACCAGAGTTTCTCTCCCTCTCCCTTCTGAATTGATTTTAAGGTGCTAAGTTAGTGATAGTGTGGTTCTAAGCATGTATTGGTTGACTGGTTATCTGTTCCTCTTCAGGCCCATGGAGATTAAAACATTATATCAAAGAGTAGACTTTCTTAATTATAGCAGCAATTAAAGATCAAGTATACCTGCAGCATGTTCAAGAATAGAAAAGAAAAGAGAGGAGAAAGAAAGAAGAAGAGAGATAGAAGAAAGAAGACCGATCATGGGTTCTAGTCTCTCCCACAATTTCTTTTATTAACTCATATAACTAAAAGAGAAATTACAGCAGCACCCTCATATAGGCAGCAGAACAAATAATGATAATAAGCAACTTAGTAACCTGGCCCATAGGCCCACTAACAAAAGAATTAAAGCCCACCAACAATAAGAAATAAAAATGGCAACTAAACAGCAACTAAGGAAATAAAATAGATGTTATTGAGATGAGATACAAAGAGATGAGATCCTTGAGGTCCCCTCTATTAGATTCTGAAATTGACACTACTTACTTTATAGCCAACTTGCCTGCTAGAGCGTCCAGACAATACGTTTTGAATCAGTTCAAGGGAAACAATGTTGTTGGGATTTTCCCTTGACTTTGGTCCTCCTCTGTATGAGGTTCTTGGTATTGCTTTTCATCTTCACAATAAAATTTTGGACCAAGATTCAGGCACATCCTATTTTTCATAAACCAGGCACACCACTTTTTATTTGCCAAATACTATATGTTTTTAAAGAAGTAACCTAATCTTCTTACCAAAAAGAAAAGCAACCTAATCTATTAAAGTTTATAATTACAAATAAAGGAATGTTTTGTCTTTTCACTAGTGGTGTGCCCAGATATCAAAGATAGCATGCTTCCCAATTAGCACCCAATGTTTTTTGGATATAAGAACACCCATAAATGTGCAAACATCAACAAGACAATGGCAAGCTAATGCAAGAGCCACACAATGGCATTTGTCCTCTTTTACTAGTTTGAAGATTAGTCCTAGACAGTCAAACTATGCAAGGGATCATGCACCCAAAACAAAATAATTGAGATTACAAAGCTAGTTTGGCAGGAAGCAACTATTTGGGAAAAGCAACATGTCCCCAACTAAAAGCTATCTAGGACCAAAACACTAACTTCAACAAGTACCTCATATAACATGGTAATGGCTGAAGTTATCGCCTCTTCCCGTGGAGGATCTATGGCCTGAAAACAGAAAAATAACTTGATAAACCAAAATCTAGATGAATATTCATTAAGGACAATCACAAAACTAAAGGTTAAAGAAATATGTTCAAGATAGCATTTCTTACCTTCAATAAAAATGGTTTTATGAATCCTAAATAAAGTGACTTAATTTGTAAACACAACTCAATTAATGGCATGCGCAGCATCTCAGGTACCTTTACAAGGACAAGTAGATCCAATGAGAGATAAGTCCAAGTAAATCCTAAAAAATAAGAAGAGGACTGAAAAAAGATTGAAAAACTAAAACAAAAACAAACACCGTAATGCAATTGTAGTAGAGAAAATACCTGAAATGGGCGCATGAGATTTTCAATTCTGTGGCATGTATACAAGCAAAAGCATATACCAGGTTTTACACGCCCAGCTCTTCCTCGACGTTGTTTTGCATTGGCCTGAGATATCCAATCTTCAACCATGCTCGACAATTTCTAAAAGGAATTAGGCAAACTTTAAGAGGTTGTCATGGCATGGTACATAGAATCTACAACTTCTATCATATTTACAAATTCATATCTTTTTGGTAATAAATAAAAAGAAAACTATTGGTATATAAAAAAGCACATCTAGCGGGAGGTGAGAGATCACCAAACATTACATCAGAAACAACAAAATACAAGAAAAGAAAAAAAAAAAAAAAAAAAACAGCTCAATGATACAAACTCCAAAAATAACCAGAATCCATTCCCAAGAGAATCATTTGATACCCCTTCAAATTCAAGCAATATTAAAATCCACCCAATAATCTTTTCCAACTGGAAAATACAATTTGATCCCTATGATTTTCCTAGTCTTCAAAAACTTTCTATTTCTCTCCTTCCAAATTTCCCAACAAATAGCAAAAGGAACACAACTTCATATGATTTTAGTCTACCTATTCCCTCTCAAAGTAGGCTGTTGAGAAAAAATTTCTTTTGGAGATATTGGATCCCACATATCAAAACAAAAAAGGCTAGGGCTATAATCGAGCTGAGTCAAGTCAAGTATTGGACTACTCAAGCTCAAGCTTGACTTAAAAACTTGGAAGTTCAAAACTCGACTTGAACTCAATCGAGTTTCAAGTTTCCTACTCAAACTCAAGTTGAATCGATACTCATGAACTACTTGATCTTAACTTGGCATAAGCCAATTATAAATAAATTAATATTATAAATACTATAACAAAAATATATTATGAATCTCAATTATAAATTTATTTATTTATATTATACAAAATTAATATTTATTTACATAATAAATAAAAATATTAAAATTTAATTTTTATTTTAAGCTCAATATGGCTCGCTCGATGCTTGAGTTGAGTATTGTGAAGTTCGAACTCAACTTGAGTTGAGTTTGATTCAAACTCGATTATCTTCATGTCAAGTTCAAGTATTTAGTGAGACAAGCTTGAGTAGCTCAGCTCGCTTACAACCCTAAAAAAAGATAAAAAATATCTCCATATGTTACTTCAAAAAAGCAATGTTCAAAACAGAAGTGCATCAAATTCTTTTCCTTGGCCAAACATAAGTAGCATCTCCCTGCCATTTGAATTCATATACTTTTGATGTGATCCTGGTAAGAATACTGTTCAAAGCAAACAGCCATGGAAAACCCTCTCCAACCTAGGGGGAACAAGGTTCCCCCAAAGACCCCTCGCATCCAACTTCTCCACTTGATTCCTTGCCAAGGCTTTATAAAAAAGACTTTATAGAGAACACACCATTCATAACATAGTTTTTAAGGTGTCTATGCGATTCTGGGTGACAATAGGGCACCTAGTGAAGGGATAAGAGATCCATCATATGGATGGCCGAACCCTGCAGGAAGGTTGGGCGAAATTTCAAAAATTTCTCGCTCTCCCATGTGGGAATCACATTCCCTATTTTAGAAAACTGCATTTTCAATGATCAATCTTGAAACTAAACCGGACCAGATCTAAAACCAAAAGGTAGGAGAGGGATATACTTGATACGAAGTAACAGTAACTCCCAACGAAGGTGTTCACGCCCAAGGAGAAAACCAAAGACTGCTCCCACTGAAGATGACACAGTATGTGGTGGAGCAGAATCAGCAAAATGGCACTTCAGCAAGAACCAAATTCTTCAGCAAGAATGTGATGGAGGGCTGGTGAGCACGACTTCAGATTACCTTTTCTACCAAAAGGTAATATCAAGAACCTTTCTTGATCACTCCTACAGGTGGAGATCAAACTGACAGAGGCGGCAAGAGCAAGAAAGAGCAAAAGACAGGAGCAGTCAAACTGCAGATTCTTCTCTCTTTGTAGTCTGCAAATTGAGTATTGTGTGTTGGAGGTTCTCCTTGCTCCTCTATTTATAGCCTTTAAAGAGAGCATCTCCTAATCCCATTAGGAGTTTCCTAATCCAAATCTTGTATTTGGATCTGGACTCTCTTTAAGAGATAAGGATAATCCCTTATCTTCTCTACAGATAAAGATCAGCCTTCCTAATCAAATAAGAAGTTTCTTGATCCAAATCTTTATTTGGATCTGGAATCTCTGAGTGGATAGGGATAATCCCTTATCCTATCTGTTGATCTAAATCCCAGAACCGCCCCTAATTAATTAATCTTATTAAGCCAATTCGAATTGGGCTTTAGGCCCATTAAGTCTATGTGCTCACTTAACCTCCTAACTGTTGCCCAGTTGGCTATCCTTGTATGGTGTGGGACCCAAACATTGATTTACACATCAGCCACATGGGTTCAGCCCATACAATGCCTGACCGAATTCACTGTAAGAAATAGTGAACCCCTGAATCCATCACCATGGGCTCTTAATGGGCCCAACATTTACACTAAATGGTCATTGGGTCAAGTCACCTTATAAAAACCCAAGGACTGTGAGCAGATGCAAGATTAGCCCATCAGGTATTACCCTCAATGGTCTTACACTTAACCTCTCAGCCCATAATGATCAAACACTACCCGACAAGAGAGGACCTCTCCCTCGG